GCCTGCCTGACTTTTATCGACGATTGCGAGGTTTATTTCCCGCTTCTCGCTATCACTCTCAAACGAACACACATTTTCTCAAGTCTCTCTTTCTCTCTCTCTATCGCTTTGCTTCTACTGAGACAGAAGGGCTTAATAGGGCTTAATAAGGACATTGATGTCCTTAGATCAAGCTGAAAAACTTTTAGCTTACATCAGCTGGTGATCTGTGTCAGGATTTGGTTATTTGTTTCGATAGGCTTAAACTTTATTGGATGATAAGCAGTACTCATAATGGAGGGTGTGGGTGGCGTGAGCTGTGTACCGGAGCCTTCATGATGCCCAGTGACTTGGTTTACCCAGTACCCAGTTCCCCAGTACCCAGTTCCCCAGTACGCAGTTCTTCTGTACCCAGTTCCCTAGTACCCAGTTCCCCAGTACCCAGTTACCCAGTTCCCCAGTTCCCCAGTACCAGTTCCCCAGTACCCAATTTCCCCAGTATCCAGTTCCCCAGTACCCAGTTCCTCAGTACCCAGTAACCAGTTTACTTGTTGAGGGAAAATGTTGTAAATACGAACAAACTGAGAAATGAATGATTGTGTTGTGTGTTTTTTTTTACAGTGAAACAGCCTACATTAGATTCAGATTCAGATTCAGATGTTTATTCAGGTAAGGTATATACATACAAGTGATGTTACATTAATGGATTGATATATAGATAGAGCTAGTACATACAATGCCTAAAGCCACTATTACGCAATGCGTTTCGGGCAAGGCTCTTGCCCGAAATTAGGCTCTTGCCCGAGTGCTTTGTAGTGTAATTGTCATCTACTGGTTATCAAGAACATTGTACCAGGTTGGGAAGCCTTGAGAACATTGGAGTTATGCATAACAGTAAGGGCGTTGTTATGGTGCTGAAGGCTCGCTTGAAGAACAGTATAGCAAGAAGCAAGGTATAACAGTATAGCAAGAAGCAAGGGTATAACAGTATAGCAAGAAGCAAGGGTATAACAGTATAGCAAGAAGCAAGGGTATAACAGTATAGCAAGAAGCAAGGGTATAACAGTATAGCAAGAAGCAAGGGTATAACAGTATAGCAAGAAGCAAGGGTATAACAGTATAGCAACAGTATAGCAAGGGTTTAAGTGTAGAAATGAATATTCTCTCACAGTTTTGTATCTTGTCCAGAAGTTGGAAAAAGTATGGTGATAAGCCATCCAGGAAAGCCTGTACTCAAGATGGGAATGTATTTGGGTTTCTTATTTGGTTTTGCAACCACTGCTGTCGAGCAGGTCGGTGATGTGCCTCAGTGATGGCTGCCTTGCTTCTTAGCCTCAACATGTTGCTCATTTGCAGTTGTTGAAGGATCGAACTTCATCCCCAAGATGTCAACGTCCCACCTGAGCACTTATTATTATTATTAACATCTTTATTGACAAAATTAATTACAATTTTGCCTAATCTGAGGATTTTGATAGTCTTATTAAATTGAGGTTAATACTAGTATTTACTGTCACGCAGGACAGAGGGTCATACATAAGACAATAGGTCTAAACTGTAGGCTGAAGCACATATATATCATGGTTACAATCAATGTTTTAATGTGTGGATATGTGAAAAACCTGAGCACTGAGCTTTTACCACCCATCCATTTGCTCGTCCCAGTCACATCTTCATGGTGTTTACTGGGCAGACTCCGAGCGGCGTCGCTCTCGCCTTGTTTGGTCAGTAAGACATCAACTTGTCTTACGTGTGAGCCCATCATGATCGTGGACGGGAGTTGGATTCCACTGTATTCCTCCAACATGTGCTCTCTGTAGAGCATGTGTTGCTTTATAGAGCAACACATGTTCTACAGAGAGCATGACCCTCCAACATGTGCTCTCTGTAGAGCATGTGTTGCTTTATAGAGCAACACATGTTCTACAGAGAGCATGACCCTCCAACATGTGCTCTCTGTAGAGCATGTGTTGCTTTACAGAGCAACACATGTTCTACAGAGAGCATGACCCTCCAACATGTGCTCTCTCTGCACTGCGACGATAGATGGAATAGCAAGTGTATACTTCAGTTTCCCTGATTGATGGTGTTTATTGCTGGTGTATGGTCCTGGGGCCGCGTGTATGGTCCTGGGGCCGCGGGGTATGGTCCTGGGGCCGCGTGTATGGTCCTGGGGCCGCGGGTGTATGGTCCTGGGGCCGCGTGTATGGTCCTGGGGCCGCGGGTGTATGGTCCTGGGGCCGCGTGTATGGTCCTGGGGCCGCGGGTGTATGGTCCTGGGGCCGCGTGTATGGTCCTGGGGCCGCGTGTATGGTCCTGGGGCCGCGTGTATGGTCCTGGGGCCGCGGGTGTATGGTCCTGGGGCCGCGTGTATGGTCCTGGGGCCGCGTGTATGGTCCTGGGGCCGAGTGTATGGTCCTGGGGCCGCGTGTATGGTCCTGGGGCCGCGGTATGGTGTATGGTCCTGGGGCCGCGTGTATGGTCCTGGGGCCGCGTGTATGGTCCTGGGGCCGCGGTATGGTGTATGGTCCTGGGGCCGCGTGTATGGTCCTGGGGCCGCGTGTATGGTCCTGGGGCCGCGTGTATGGTCCTGGGGCCGCGTGTATGGTCCTGGGGCCGCGTGTATGGTCGTGTATGGGGCCTGGGCGCGTGTATGGTCGGGGCCGCGTGTATGGTGTATGGTCCTGGGGCCGCGTGTATGTCCTGGGGCCGCGGGTGTATGGTCCTGGGGCCGCGTGTATGGTCCTGGGGCCGCGTGTATGGTCCTGGGGCCGCGTGTATGGTCCTGGGGCCGCGGGTGTATGGTCCTGGGGCCGCGTGTATGGTCCTGGGGCCGCGTGTATGGTCCTGGGGCCGCGTGTATGGTCCTGGGGCCGCGTGTATGGTGTATGGTCCTGGGGCCGCGTGTATGGTCCTGGGGCCGCGTGTATGGTCCTGGGGCCGCGTGTATGGTCCTGGGGCCGCGGTATGTATGGTCCTGGGGCCGCGTGTATGGTCCTGGGGCCGCGTGTATGGTCCTGGGGCCCTGCCGCGGTATGGTCCTGGGGCCGCGCGTGTATGGTCCTGGGGCCGCGGGGTGTATGGTCCTGGGGCCGCGGGTGTATGGTCCTGGGGCCGCGTGTATGGTCCTGGGGCCGCGTGTATGGTCCTGGGGCCGCGTGTATGGTCCTGGGGCCGCGGGTGTATGGTCCTGGGGCCGCGTGTATGGTCCTGGGGCCGCGTGTATGGTCCTGGGGCCGCGTGTATGGTCCTGGGGCCGCGTGTATGGTCCTGGGGCCGCGGGTGTATGGTCCTGGGGCCGCGGGTGTATGGTCCTGGGGCCGCGTGTATGGTCCTGGGGCCGCGTGTATGGTCCTGGGGCCGCGTGTATGGTCCTGGGGCCGCGGGTGTATGGTCCTGGGGCCGCGTGTGGCCATTCCCAGGTTATAATTAACTCCAACTTGGAGAGCAACTTTGTTATATCTGTTCCTGGATCACACACAAACATGTTACAATTATGCCTTATGGAGGAGAGCGCTTTATAACGATAAGAAGTAAATTGTTGTTAATGGGTCAATTTTAAAGATTTATACACCTTTGAGTGCTGAAGGTATGGCAACCTGTTCAGCCCGAAGGGTACAAGCCCAGTTGTTTATACTTATCTCCACTCAAGAGAGGCGCTGTTACTCATTGTCCAACTCCAAGTGTAGTTATGACAACTACACTTGGGGGTGTGGATGGAGGTGGCTTCTACAACTTCTTCCTTCAGCGTAATCGACTTGTTTGCAACCCGTACAGGATACTTATACTTATACTTATACTTATATTTATAGTATTTCCTTACATTCCTTCGGTTTATTTTGGGTTTCCAGTTTCCGCCTGTGTCGTCTTCTCCTACTTTCTCTGAATTTGAAAAAGCTATCCTTGTCCTCCTTATCTATTTTCCATAGTATCTAGTATGTTGTGATCATATCCCGTCTATTCCTTCTATTGTCTTGGATTGTGAGATTTAGTTGAAACATTGACATGTCTGAGCTCACTCTCTCGGGCAGGTCGTTCACATCAATTAGGAACAGGTGTGGTCCCAAGACAGAGCCTTGTGGGACGCCACGTGTTACATTCCTGCACTTTAAACCCTCCTCTGAGACTGTCACTCTTTGCGTCTGTTCTTCAAGTACTCCCTTACCCCAGTTCGGTGTTTTTCAAGTTACCCGGTAAGGTAACCTGAGGCTGCTTCTCCATATGGTACACTTAGACTTTCAGGAGGAACTGTGTCAAATGCTGTTTAACACTAGGACAATATAGTCTACCCAGCCTTCTTTTCCTGTCATATTTCAGTAACATTGTCATAAAACTCCACCAGGTTTGTCAGGAACGACTTTCCGTTTCTAAATCTATGCTGTTCCTTGTGTCAAATTGTCAGTCCTCTCTCTAGATGTTCCATTATTCTTAACCCGATTACTTTCTCCAGCACTGTACATGGAATATTCATCAATGACACCTGTTTGGTATATATCATATATGTATGTGATAGGAGCCAGTGATAGGAGCCAGTGTTAGGAGCCAGTGATAGGAGCCAGTGATAGGAGCCAGTGTTAGGAGCCAGTGTTAGGTGGTCCTCTGTTGCCAGCCGGTATTGGGGCCAGTGTTGCCTAATTATTTGTTTACCAATTATTTTCGGTACGTGATAAATTGTATATTGTATCACAAATTTATTCTACTCTGATGTTTTGAAGAAATATCGTTGTAACAATTTATATAAACAACGACGCACGCACGGCCGCTATGCAACACATTCTTGTTGATCAACCATTATGCCCGTAACGTTGCCGGTGGCTACTTTAGACCAACTACTTGGGCTGGACGGTAGAGAGATGGTCTCACTTCATGCAGGTCGGTGTTCAATTCCCGATTGTCCAAATGGTTGAGCACCATTCTTTTCCCCCAGTCCCATCCTATCAAGAATCGTTATACTGACCTCTTCTAAGGCACCTGCGGCACTCCAGGCACCTGTGGCACTCCAGGCACATGTGACACTCCAGGCACTACGGCACTCCAGGCACCTATGGCACTCCAGGCACCTGTGACACTCCAGGCACCTTTAGCACTCCAGGCACCTGCGGCATTCCAGGCATCTGTGGCACCTCAGGCACTCCAGGCACTTGTGGCACCCCAGGCACCTGTGGCACTCCAGGCGCCTGTGACACCCCAGGCACCTGTGGCACTCCAGGCACCTGTGACACCCCAGGCACCTGCGGCACTCCAGGCACCTGTGGCACTCCAGTCACCTGCTGCACTCCAAGCACCGGTAACACTCCAGGCACCTGTGACACTCCAGGCACCTGCGGCACTCCAGGCACCTGTGGCACTCCAAGCACCGGTAACACTCCAGGCACCTGCGGCATTCCAGGCATCTGTGGCACCTCAGGCACTCCAGGCAGTTGTGACACTCCAGGCACCGGTGGCACTCCAGGCTCCTGTGACACTCCAAGCACCTGTGACACTCCAGGCACCTTTAGCACTCCAGGCACCTGCGGCATTCCAGGCATCTGTGGCACCTCAGGCACTCCAGGCACCTGCGGCACTCCAGGCACCTGTGGCACTCCAGGCTCCTGTGACACTCCAGGCACCTATGGCACTCCAGGCACCTGCGGCACTCCAGGCACCTGTGGCACTCCAGGCACCTGCGGCACTCCAGGCACCTGTGGCACTCCAGGCACCTGCGGCACTCCAAGCACCGGTAACACTCCAAGCACCGGTAACACTCCAGGCACCTGTGGCACTCCAAGCACCGGTAACACTCCAATCACCGGTAACACTCCAGGCACCTGTGGCACTCCAATCACCGGTAACACTCCAATCACCGGTAACACTCCAAGCACCGGTAACACTCCAGGCACCTGTGACACTCCAGGCACCGGTGGCACTCCAAGCACCTGTGACACTCCAGTCACCTGCTGCACTCCAAGCACCTGTGACACTCCAGGCACCTGTGACACTCCAGGCACCTTTAGCACTCCAGGCACCTGCGGCACTCCAGGCACCTTTAGCACTCCAGGCACCTGCGGCACTCCAGGCACCTGTGACACCCCAGGCACCTGTGACACCCCAGGCACCTGTGACACCCCAGGCACCTGTGACACTCCAGTCACCTGCGGCACTCCAAGCACCTATGGCACTCCAGGCACCTGTGGCACTCCAAGCACCGGTAACACTCCAGGCGCCTGTGACACTCCAGGCACTACGGCACTCCAGGTTAGTGTTAACTGATAATATTGTGTAATTAATGATCAATGTTGGCTATTATTGATCAATATTTCGTGGTAATCTTAAGGATCAATATTACTAGTTAATGTTCAATGATCAATATGACTTGCTAACACCCGACGGCGATTAATCTGAGGCGATTAACTGAGAATCCTGCAATTAATCCCGGAAATAACCAGCGTTCCAACACTTTTAATTAATTAAAAATGAGAGTATTGAACAGTGACAGTATTGAACAGTGACAGTAGTGAACAGTGACAGTATTGAACAGTGACAGTAGTGAACAGTGACAGTATTGAACAGTGACAGTATTGAACAGTGACAGTATTGAACAGTGACAGTATTGAACAGTGACAGTATTGAACAGTGACAGTATTGAACAGTGACAGTAGTGAACAGTGACAGTAGTGAAGAGTGACAGTAGTGAAGAGTGACAGTATTGAACAGTGACAGTATTGAACAGTGACAGTATTGAACAGTGACAGTAGTGAACAGTGACAGTATTGAACAGTGACAGTATTGAACAGTGACAGTATTGAACAGTGACAGTATTGAACAGTGACAGTATTGAACAGTGACAGTATTGAACAGTGACAGTAGTGAACAGTGACAGTATTGAACAGTGACAGTAGTGAACAGTGACAGTATTGAACAGTGACAGTATTGAACAGTGACAGTATTGAACAGTGACAGTAGTGAACAGTGACAGTATTGAACAGTGACAGTATTGAACAGTGACAGTATTGAACAGTGACAGTATTGAACAGTGACAGTATTGAACAGTGACAGTATTGAACAGTGACAGTAGTGAACAGTGACAGTATTGAACAGTGACAGTATTGAACAGTGACAGTATTGAACAGTGACAGTAGTGAAGAGTGACAGTATTGAACAGTGACAGTATTGATGTGGGAACCGACCTGTGAGATTTATATTTATTTAATTTATATGAATTTATATTTACGTTAATTTATATACTTCGATAGCAATTTGTATAATGATAAGTGGACTGTATTTCTGCAATAATCTCATAATCTCACAAATCGATCCTCTACACATTAGGGGGGGGGGGTTATATTAATTTATATATATGCAGCCAATCAAACTACAGTAATAGACTACATACATTGAAGAGGTTCCTTATCTTATAGTACAGCTGACCTTAATCCACCAGGTATAACCAGGATGTAGACCACATTTTCCCTCTTTGAGGTAGCTTCCATCACCCTGGTAACTGATGCACAAAGCCTTGCTTCCTCGTCTTGACCTGTCAAAAGGGCGCTAGCTGTAAAGCCAGAATCCTATATATGGCAGGTATATCAGAGAAAATACTGTACATGGAACAATGAAGACCTGGCTTAATTACCTTTAGTTTGAGGCTACCACGTGCTCTAACCGGGTCACCCTATATAATGACATTAATGGCCATAAATGAAAGATACATGGGTTTCGGAAGAACACTTAACTTGATTTGTTGACAGCGTGTTGATAATGGTACACCTTTGGTTTCCATAACACTACGTCCAAGTAAAATTAACAGGAGCCGAATTTGCTCCCGTGAGCCTCTGGTCTAATATAACAAACAATGGCTCCCCTCCTTCCTCCCTCTGACGCCTGGCTTACATTGTCCAGATGACAGAAAGTGATAGAAGGGTCACATTTACTCTACTTTAATATTGATAATTAAGTTAATTTATATGAGATGTTTTATGATGGTAAAGTCCAAAGACTAATGTATTTAAGAATAATTCCCACCATAATAGGTGGTGAATATAATAGTATGTGGTGATGATATCCCGTTTTCTTTAGACGGTAATTCCACTACAAGTTACGTTTTCTATGGGTTAACTTGTTTATACAACACAGCTATTATCTGTCTGTATGATATTTAATGGTGTCGGATTTTCCGACAATTGAACAGTGACAGTAAGCTAAATTCTGATGATGTTTGTGAACAAATCTGGAACAGCGAAATGAACGAATTATGAAAACCAAGTGAATAAAAAGAAAAGGTTACAGTGAAGAGTGGGCAGTGAAGATGGTAACAGTGAAGAGAGTGGGCAGTGAAGATGGTTACAGTGAAGAGAGTGGGCAGTGAAGATGATTATAGTGAAGAGAGTGGGCATTGAAGGTTACAGTGTAGAGAGTGGACAGTGAAGAGAGTGGGCAGTGAAGATGATTACAGTGTAGAGAGTGGGCAGTGAAGATGGTTACAGTGTAGAGAGTGGGCAGTGAAGATGGTTACAGTGAAGAGAGTGGGCAGTGAAGATGATTACAGTGAAGAGAGTGGGCAGTGAAGATGATTACAGTGTAGAGAGTGGACAGTGAAGATGATTACAGTGAAGAGAGTGGGCAGTGAAGATGGTTACAGTGAAGAGAGCGGGCAGTGAAGATGGTTACAGTGAAGAGAGTGGGCAGTGAAGATGATTATAGTGAAGAGAGTGGGCATTGAAGGTTACAGTGTAGAGAGTGGACAGTGAAGATGATTACAGTGAAGATGATTACAGTGTAGAGAGTGGACAGTGAAGAGAGTGGGCAGTGAAGATGGTTACAGTGTAGAGAGTGGGCAGTGAAGATGGTTACAGTGAAGAGAGTGGGCAGTGAAGATGATTATAGTGAAGAGAGTGGGCATTGAAGGTTACAGTGTAGAGGGTGGGCAGTGAAGATGATTACAGTGTAGAGAGTGGGCAGTGAAGATGATTACAGTGTAGAGAGTGGGCAGTGAAGATGGTTACAGTGTAGAGAGTGGGCAGTGAAGATGATTACAGTGTAGAGTGGGCAGTGAAGATGGTTACAGTGTAGTGAGTGGGCAGTGAAGAGGGTTACAGTGTAGAGAGTGGGCAGTGAAGATGATTACAGTGTAGAGAGTGGGCAGTGAAGATGGTTACAGTGTAGAGAGTGGGCAGTGAAGAGGGTTACAGTGTAGAGAGTGGGCAGTGAAGAGAGTGGGCATTGAAGGTTACAGTGTAGAGAGTGGGCAGTGAAGATGATTACAGTGTAGAGAGTGGGCAGTGAAGATGGTTACAGTGTAGAGAGTGGGCAGTGAAGAGGGTTACAGTGAAGAGCGTGGACAGTGAAGATGATTACAGTGAAGAGAGTGAGCAGTGAAGATGATTACAGTGAAGATAGTGAGCAGTGAAGATGATTACTGTGAAGAGAGTGGGCAGTGAAGATGATTACAGTGAAGAGAGTGAGCAGTGAAGATGATTACAGTGAAGAGAGAGGACAGTGAAGGTTACAGTGAAGAGAGTGAGCAGTGAAGGTTACAGTGAAGAGAGTGAGCAGTGAAGGTTACAGTGAAGAGAGTGGGTAGTGAAGATGATTACAGTGAAGAGAGTGGACAGTGAAGATGATTATAGCGAAGAGAGTGGGCAGTGAAGGTTACAGTGAAGAGAGTGGACAGTGAAGAGGGTTATAGTGAAGAGAGTGGACAGTGAAGGTTACAGTGGTGAGAATGGGCAGTGAAGAGAATGGACAGTGAAGAGGGTTACAGTGAAGAGAGTGGACAGTGAAGAGGGTTACATTGAAGAGAGTGGGCAGTGAAGGTTACAGTGAAGAGAATGGGCAGTGAAGATGATTACAGTGAAGAGAGTTGGCAGTGAAGATGATTACAGTGAAGAGAGTTGGCAGTGAAGATGATTACAGCAGCCTCCACCAATGGTCCCTACAGAGTCATCTTCTGCCCCCCACCAATGGTCCCTACAGAGTCATCTGCCCCCACCAATGGTCCCTACAGAGTCATCTTCTGCCCCCCACCAATGGTCCCTACAGAGTCATCTTCTGCCCCCCACCAATGGTCCCTACAGAGTCATCTGCCCCCACCAATGGTCCCTACAGAGTCATCTTCTGCCCCCCCACCAGTGGTCCCTACAGAGTCATCTTCTGCCCCCACCAATGGTCCCTACAGAGTCATCTTCTGCCCCCACCAATGGTCCCTACAGAGTCATCTGCCCCCACCAATGGTCCCTACAGAGTCATCTGCCCCCCACCAATGGTCCCTACAGAGTCATCTTCTGCCCCCACCAATGGTCCCTACAGAGTCATCTTCTGCCCCCCACCAATGGTCCCTACAGAGTCATCTTCTGCCCCCCACCAATGGTCCCTACAGAGTCATCTTCTCCCCCCACCAATGGTCCCTACAGAGTCATCTTCTGCCCCCCCACCAATGGTTCCTACAGAGTCATCTTCTGCCCCCACCAATGGTCCCTACAGAGTCATCTGCCCCCACCAATGGTCCCTACAGAGTCATCTTCTGCCCCCCACCAATGGTCCCTACAGAGTCATCTTCTGCCCCCCACCAATGGTCCCTACAGAGTCATCTTCTGCCCCCCACCAATGGTCCCTACAGAGTCATCTTCTCCCCCCACCAATGGTCCCTACAGAGTCATCTTCTGCCCCCCACCAATGGTTCCTACAGAGTCATCTTCTGCCCCCACCAATGGTCCCTACAGAGTCATCTGCCCCCACCAATGGTCCCTACAGAGTCATCTTCTGCCCCCCACCAATGGTCCCTACAGAGTCATCTTCTGCCCCCCACCAATGGTCCCTACAGAGTCATCTTCTGCCCCCCACCAATGGTCCCTACAGAGTCATCTTCTCCCCCCACCAATGGTCCCTACAGAGTCATCTTCTGCCCCCCCCCCCACCAATGGTTCCTACAGAGTCATCTTCTGCCCCCCACCAATGGTCCCTACAGAGTCATCTTCTCCCCCCACCAATGGTCCCTACAGAGTCATCTTCTGCCCCCCCACCAATGGTTCCTACAGAGTCATCTTCTGCCCCCACCAATGGTCCCTACAGAGTCATCTGCCCCCACCAATGGTCCCTACAGAGTCATCTTCTGCCCCCACCAATGGTCCCTACAGAGTCATCTTCTCCCCCCACCAATGGTCCCTACAGAGTCATCTTCTGCCCCCCCCACCAATGGTTCCTACAGAGTCATCTTCTGCCCCCCACCAATGGTCCCTACAGAGTCATCTTCTCCCCCCACCAATGGTCCCTACAGAGTCATCTTCTGCCCCCCCACCAATGGTTCCTACAGAGTCATCTTCTGCCCCCACCAATGGTCCCTACAGAGTCATCTGCCCCCACCAATGGTCCCTACAGAGTCATCTTCTGCCCCCCACCAATGGTTGGTCATCGTCGCCTCTGGTCATTGTCGCGAAATTAGTCCAATTAATCTTTATGTTGTTGTGGACAAGGTGTAATATGTATTTCAGGTTGGGGTAAATATTGTCAGAGGACAAATGTGTTCGATACAAACACGAGAGTATAACGATCATCCGAGGATGGGTATGTGCTGATTCAAAATATACCAACAAATCAAAATATTTTGATTCAAAATATACCGGTTAACAGAAAGGTCATCTAGGTGACCTGGTCACCAGTGTGTGTGTGCTGTGTTGAGAGACTGCTTAAGGTGATGTCTGCAGAGGTGACCTACACTTGGCCTCCGTGCTGCACCTCTGTTGCAGTGGTCTGACGGTGATGATTGTTGCAGAGATCTGACGGTGGTCTGCTCTTGTGGGTTGAGGAAGGTGTTGGCAGGCCCAGGAAGGTGTTGGCAGGCCCAGGAAGGTGTTGGCAGGCCCAGGAAGGTGTTGGCAGGCCCAGGAAGGTGTTGGTAGGCCCAGGAAGGTGTTGGCAGGCCCAGGAAGGTGTTGGCAGGCCCAGGAAGGTGTTGGCAGGCCCAGGAAGGTGTTGGAAGGCCCAGGAAGGTGTTGGCAGCCCCAGGAAGGTGTTGGCAGCCCCAGGAAGGTGTTGGCAGCCCAGGAAGGTGTTGGCAGGCCCAGGAAGGTGTTGGCAGGCCCAGGAAGGTGTTGGCAGGCCCAGGAAGGTGTTGGCAGGCCCAGGAAGGTGTTGGCAGGCCCAGGAAGGTGTTGGCAGGCCCAGGAAGGTGTTGGAAGGCCCAGGAAGGTGTTGGCAGCCCCAGGAAGGTGTTGGCAGGCCTAGGAAGGTGTTGGCAGGCCCAGGAAGGTGTTGGCAGCCCCAGGAAGGTGTTGGCAGCCCCAGGAAGGTGTTGGCAGGCCCAGGAAGGTGTTGGCAGGCCCAGGAAGATGTTGGCAGCCCCAGGAAGGTGTTGGCAGCCCCAGGAAGGTGTTGGCAGGCCCAGGAAGGTGTTGGCAGGCCCAGGAAGGTGTTGGCAGGCCCAGGAAGGTGTTGGCAGGCCCAGGAAGGTGTTGGTAGGCCCAGGAAGGTGTTGGCAGGCCCAGGAAGGTGTTGGCAGCCCCAGGAAGGTGTTGACAGCCCCAGGAAGGTGTTGGCAGGCATAGGAAGGTGTTGGCAGGCCCAGGAAGGTGTTGGCAGCCCCAGGAAGGTGTTGGCAGCCCCAGGAAGGTGTTGGCAGCCCCAGGAAGGTGTTGGCAGGCCCAGGAAGGTGTTGGCAGGCCCAGGAAGGTGTTGGCAGGCCCAGGAAGGTGTTGGCAGGCCCAGGAAGGTGTTGGCAGGCCCAGGAAGGTGTTGGGAGGCCCAGGAAGGTGTTGGGAGGCCCAGGAAGGTGTTGGCAGGCCCAGGAAGGTGTTGGCAGGCCCAGAAAGGTGTTGGCAGGCCCAGGAAGGTGTTGGTAGGCCCAGGAAGGTGTTGGCAGGCCCAGGAAGGTGTTGACAGGCCCAGGAAGGTGTTGGTAGGGCCAGGAAGGTGTTGGTAGGCCCAGGAAGGTGTGTTCAGGCCCAGGAAGGTGTTGGCAGGCCCAGGAAGGTGTTGGCAGCCCCAGGAAGGTGTTGGTAGGCCCAGGAAGGTGTTGGCAGGCCCAGGAAGGTGTTGGCAGACCCAGGAAGGTGTTGGCAGCCCCAGGAAGGTGTTGGCAGCCCCAGGAAGGTGTTGGCAGGCCCAGGAAGGTGTTGGCAGGCCCAGGAAGGTGTTGGGAGGCCCAGGAAGGTGTTGGGAGGCCCAGGAAGGTGTTGGCAGGCCCAGGAAGGTGTTGGCAGGCCCAGAAAGGTGTTGGCAGGCCCAGGAAGGTGTTGGTAGGCCCAGGAAGGTGTTGGCAGGCCCAGGAAGGTGTTGACAGGCCCAGGAAGGTGTTGGTAGGGCCAGGAAGGTGTTGGTAGGCCCAGGAAGGTGTGTTCAGGCCCAGGAAGGTGTTGGCAGGCCCAGGAAGGTGTTGGCAGCCCCAGGAAGGTGTTGGTAGGCCCAGGAAGGTGTTGGCAGGCCCAGGAAGGTGTTGGCAGACCCAGGAAGGTGTTGGCCGCCCCAGGAAGGTGTTGGCAGCCCCAGGAAGGTGTTGGCAGGCCCAGGAAGGTGTTGGCAGGCCCAGGAAGGTGTTGGCAGGCCCAGGAAGGTGTTGGCAGCCCCAGGAAGGTGTTGGCAGCCCCAGGAAGGTGTTGGCAGCCCCAGGAAGGTGTTGGCAGCCCCAGGAAGGTGTTGGCAGCCCCAGGAAGGTGTTGGCAGGGCTGACCCGCTGACAGCGCGGCCACAGGGAGAGATGATCACAATATGTACTTTTTTGCTATAAAAAATTACTAACAATTCGTAAAAAAAGAGTCGTAATCCTCATCCAATAAATAAAACTTGATCCTGATGGAGAATCGGAAATAATCCATAAAATATGATGCATATCTATATAATTTTTTGTATTCCTCTTTCGGTTGAAATTTTAATTGATGAGATACGCTAAGCTTTTCCCTGTGGAGATTTTATTATTAATAGTTCATCTGTTAATGTGACTGTACCCGTGTGTCTAGTGACTGTATCCGTGTGTCCAGTGACTGTACCGTGTGTCTAGTGACTGTATCCGTGTGTCTAGTGACTGTACCCGTGTGTCTAGTGACTGTACCCGTGTGTCTAGTGACTGTACCCGTGTGTCCAGTGACTGTACCCGTGTGTCCAGTGACTGTACCCTTGTGTCCAGTGACTGTACCCGTGTGTCCAGTGACTGTACCCGTGTGTCTAGTGACTGTACCCTTGTGTCCAGTGACTGTACCGTGTGTCTAGTGACTGTACCCGTGTGTCTAGTGACTGTACCCGTGTGTCTAGTGACTGTATCCGTGTGTCTAGTGACTGTATCCGTGTGTCTAGTGACTGTATCCGTGTGTCTAGTGACTGTATCCGTGTGTCCAGTGACTGTATCCGTGTGTCTAGTGACTGTACCCGTGTGTCTAGTGACTGTATCCGTGTGTCTAGTGACTGTACCCGTGTGTCCAGTGACTGTACCCGTGTGTCTAGTGACTGTACCCGTGTGTCTAGTGACTGTACCAGTGTGGCTAGTGACTGTACCAGTGTGGCTAGTGACTGTACCAGTGTGGCAAGTGACTGTACCCGTGTGGCTAGTGACTGTACCCGTGTGTCTAGTGACTGTACCCGTGTGTCCAGTGACTGTACCCGTGTGTCCAGTGACTGTACCCGTGTGTCTAGTGACTGTACCCGTGTGCCTAGTGACTGTACCCGTGTGTCCAGTGACTGTACCCGTGTGTCTAGTGACTGTACCCGTGTGTCTAGTGACTGTACCCGTGTGTCTAGTGACTGTACCAGTGTGGCTAGTGACTGTACCCGTGTGTCCAGTGACTGTACCCGTGTGTCTAGTGACTGTACCCGTGTGTCTAGTGACTGTACCAGTGTGGCTAGTGACTGTACCCGTGTGTCTAGTGACTGTACCCGTGTGCCTAGTGACTGTACCCGTGTGTCCAGTGACTGTACCCGTGTGTCTAGTGACTGTACCCGTGTGTCTAGTGACTGTACCCGTGTGTCTAGTGACTGTACCAGTGTGGCTAGTGACTGTACCCGTGTGTCCAGTGACTGTACCCGTGTGTCCAGTGACTGTACCCGTGTGTCCAGTGACTGTACCCGTGTGTCTAGTGACTGTACCCGTGTGTCTAGTGACTGTACCAGTGTGGCTAGTGACTGTACCAGTGTGGCTAGTGACTGTACCAGTGTGGCAAGTGACTGTACCCGTGTGGCTAGTGACTGTACCCGTGTGTCTAGTGACTGTACCCGTGTGTCCAGTGACTGTACCCGTGTGTCCAGTGACTGTACCCGTGTGTCCAGTGACTGTACCCGTGTGTCCAGTGACTGTACCCGTGTGGCTATTGACTGTACCCGTGTGTCCAGTGACTGTACCCGTGTGTCCAGTGACTGTACCCGTGTGTCCAGTGACTGTACCCGTGTGTCTAGTGACTGTACCCGTGTGGCTAGTGACTGTACCCGTGTGGCTAGTGACTGTACCCGTGTGTCCAGTGACTGTACCAGTGTGGCTAGTGACTGTACCCGTGTGTCTAGTGACTGTACCCGTGTGTCCAGTGACTGTACCCGTGTGTCCAGTGACTGTACCCGTGTGTCCAGTGACTGTACCCGTGTGTCCAGTGACTGTACCCTTGTGTCCAGTGACTGTACCCGTGTGTCCAGTGACTGTACCCGTGTGTCTAGTGACTGTACCCTTGTGTCCAGTGACTGTACCCTTGTGTCCAGTGACTGTACCCGTGTGTCCAGTGACTGTACCCGTGTGTCTAGTGACTGTACCCTTGTGTCCAGTGACTGTACCCGTGTGTCCAGTGACTGTACCCGTGTGTCCAGTGACTGTACCCGTGTGTCTAGTGACTGTACCCTTGTGTCCAGTGACTGTACCCGTGTGTCCAGTGACTGTACCCTTGTGTCCAGTGACTGTACCCGTGTGTCCAGTGACTGTACCCGTGTGTCCAGTGACTGTACCCGTGTGTCCAGTGACTGTACCCGTGTGTCCAGTGACTGTACCCTTGTGTCCAGTGACTGTACCCTTGTGTCCAGTGACTGTACCCGTGTGTCCAGTGACTGTACCTATTACCTCACCTCCACTCTCCTTGCTGACCTGTTTCTTGATTATTAAATTTTCTTACCTTGTTTGCCTTCCTTGCCTACCCTTACCTTGCCTACCCTTACCTTGCCTGCCCTTACCTTGCCTGCCCTTACCTTGCCTACCCTTACCTTGCCTGCCCTTACCTTGCCTGCCCTTACCTTGCCTACCCTTACCTTGCCTACCCTTACCTTGCCTACCCTTACCTTGCCTGCCCTTACCTTGCCTGCCCTTACCTTGCCTACCCTTACCTTGCCTACCCTTACCTTGCCTACCCTTACCTTGCCTGCCCTTACCTTGCCTACCCTTACCTTGCCTACCCTTACCTTGCCTACCCTTACCTTGCCTACCCTTACCTTGCCTGCCCTTACCTTGCCTACCCTTACCTTGCCTACCCTTACCTTGCCTAC